TCATTGCCTTTTAGCCAGCCTACCCAACTGCCTTGAAGATGGTCTCTTTGGCACACTGTTGCCGACGGCCCGAGGCACTGCTGACTGCCTCCCAGCCGGGTTGTCAGCACCAGTTAGCCTATTTGGTCCTGCTGGGGTCGAGCACTTGCGTAGGTATGCGCCAATTTCGACCACGGGATGCCTGTCAGATCTCAGTAGCCCTAGTCAGGCTGATATAATTCGTCGTGGCCATCGAAGTGTTGGCTGCCTATATGATCTTACCCCAATCATTCGGCTTTCAACGTCTCAGCTGGAAGCAGAGATTGATGCTGTACGCCTCTCAACTTTATCGAATCCTATGGAAAGTGGGGATATTTACAGTGATATTCATTCTGAGGATAGAAAAACTAGCATGAATGTCCAGTCACATATATTGGTTCCCATTCAGCCTAGCTCCATAGCTCTCAATTCAGCTTTGCCCCTTCTGACTAACCTAGGCCACTACAGAGGGCCCCAGCCCAAGCGAACTAAACAGTCCACTAGTGGATATGGTACACGAAAAGGTAAGCAAAATAATGATGAGAACCACGATCAAGAAAATCCAAACGGCTTGATGAACAACTTTACCATTGACTCGAAAGTTGAGAAGGACTGTATGAACGAATCTGAGGCCGCTATTCGCTTGGTTGATAGCCACTCCTGTCTTGAGTTGGTCGCTCGTTTTCCATTTCCAGTCTGGTTATCTCAACTTCAATTGACTACATCAGAGGATGCCCCTTTTGCTTTGGGTGAGCATAAATCATCTATCCAAATTCTGACTACTAGGGTCCTTTATATTATGAGCATGTCAGCTAATCTGACTAGTTAATACGTTCTAGCAGATGTAGTATATTGTTACCAACCTATAAATTTCTCCCATTTTCTAGCCGGACCCTCAGCTATAAGCTTGCAGTTTTATCGTGACCTGCCTAACCCATTTTCCTGCTCCACCGATTCTATGTTGTGTCCTGATATCACAGAAGTTTGTTCCTGGCGCTCACGAGCTGTACTCACGGGCATATTTGGCATTGATGGTTTTTGTGGAACTAGCCAAATTCATGCACAACCGGCCAATGGTGGTTTTCTGCCTCGGCCTTATTCTTTTCAACCCCGAATGGATACAGCTTTCTCCTCCCGGACGTCAGCGCTTAAAGGCAATAAATCAAGGTTGGAGCTGAAGCCAACTCGTAATTACGCCACAAGAACTTCAAACTTAGGAAACAGCAAAGTCAGCTTGTCAGCTCGGCATGCTAAGCTTACCTTTCCTGCCTGTCTTGTTACTCATGTTCTTGTACGCCTTTACGCCGAATCTGAAGATGAACAGAATTTAACTTATACGCTTAATACGCATATATCCGAGTTACCACAGACAGATCGACGCCAGATTCGGTTGGCTGAGATCACATTCTTTGGCCGTTTGACTGGCACTGCGTCCTCGGTCTCAAAGTTACCAAAGACTGACTTGAATCTTAGCATACCTATATCCCGGAACTTTGAACAACCTGACCTTACTATATCCGATCATAATTTTTTACTTGAATCAGTTCCTTCTAATTCGTAAGTGTAAACTTTTTAATAACCATGTATTTTGCCCTTTCAGGTTTTACTCTCTTATTTCCAATTACTCTTACAGTTAGTTCATAATAATTTATTTTCATGACTAGCCTTTGAATAACGATTGCAGTGACTTCTGCAGCCTTTAGTAGGAAAAGTTTTGGGATTTCTTATGCTAAAGAGATTATTTTCGTTTTCGTTTTTGTTTTCGTTTTTGTTTTTGTTTT